ACAGGGCGGCGAGTGGACGCGTTCGGCCTAAATCGACGTCGGACGCTTGTCTGGAGAGGTGGACGTCCTTCGAGACGGGCGATCCGGAGGACTGGGCCAACGCTTTGCTGACCAGAGGACGCAGCCGCCAACCTCTGGTTCTGGGAGACAACAGCTTTGCAGACCTCGTCCAGAACTGGATGGACCTACCCGATTGTCCCGAGCCCGCCGAGCCGAAACCCAAAACCAGACGCAGACTGGGACGAAGCCTCTTAGGAAACATGCGGAGGAAACTGGCCGGCTTGTCAAAGAGCGTGGAGGAGAGAGTGAGGATGAGGTCCGCAGACGCTCACCTCAGCAGAACCGCCAACGCCCCCAAGCGTCTCTCGTGTCCCGTTGTGTCGTCGGAGCCTAAGGTCCCCTTTTTCCACCAGTCCCACTCGGCTATTCACGAGCTGGACACGGACTTTTACCATTTTGCCGCACTCATGAAGTCGGGGAGCAGGCAGCCTATCATATGCAAAGACATCATTGGCTACATCTGACACACAGAGTCACTTTATTCGTATTTGATGTCATGTTTCTCACTTTTTTTAATACTTGATAGAGCGAAGACCTATTTAAATGCTCCCTGTTTAGTGAATACTTGGATGTGAAGGATTGTGAGTCAAAATTGTCCACGGGGAGTTGAAGGAACGAACTGTACTGTTACACTGCAAATAAAAAAACTGATCATAAGCATCAAACGTGCAAAGTTGTTATTCCTTAGCTTTGGAGTTATTATGTGCCACTCTCACACAATTTTTAAATCATGATGTATTCCCCAGGTCACTTTTGCAGCATTGTGGTTCGCACGTCCACATTGTGTCTAATAAATAACGCTGTATTGTATTCCCTTTAGTGTAGCTCCATCTAGTGGAGGCATACCGCAACCACAGCCACTATTTTTGCTTGTATTGTATGCGCCTTACAGTACGGTGCGCCCTATATATGAAAAACGTTTTTAAAATAGGCCATTCACTGAAGGTGTGCCTTATACTCCAAAGTGCTTTATAGTGTGGAAAATACGGGTAAATATGACTCATGTAAAAGTAGTCCTCCAAGAAATTCTTGAGTATGAGTGTTTGTCTTTTTGACATTCGTATGGTATTTAATAAATAAATAAATCCGAAGTTACTCACCACTTACTCTGTACTTGATTAATTTTTCCTGCTGACTATGTTCTTACTGTTACTCTCGAGCAATTATCTGAAGGGCAACTTTTTACTTTTCCTTGAGTCATTTAATTCCAAAGCAACGGTGCCTGGAGCGCAATTTTTTTGGCTGCTCGACTCAACTCTGTGTAATCTTAAGAACCAAATGGTCTGGCGCGACCGAGTTGGTGAAGTAATACAATTCGGGGTGTGCCTCAGTTCTTGTATCCGTTGGGTATTTCTGTTTTTACTCAACAAAAATCATTGAGCGCAACTTTTGCCTCGTCAGACAATGGGACTATTTACAGAGTTCTAGCGGCTGGCTGAGGTCATCTCCCTTGTGTGTACGCACGGGGAGGTGAAAGGCGAAGCGAGGCATGCATCACGTCGACTTTATGGCTGTCACTCGACCTCATTTAACTTACTCTTTATTTGACTTGGTGGCATTGCGTCATACGTACACACGCATGACCTAATAGAAGCGGCTCACGTACGATTAGTGAGGAGACACCGAGACAAGGGGTTGAGTTATACACTTGCCGAGATAAGCTAATGATCACTTAGCGTTTGCCGCGTTCACATTAATCCGGGGTGGAAACGGCGGCGGACAAGATGGAGATAAGGGGAGATTATTCCCATGCTCCTTACCTCACACATCATGTCATCATTTTGTCACATGAAAACAAGGAGGAGAGATGCTTCCCTCTTTTATTAGTCTGGAATGTCACAGAGAAATATCACAATATATTATCAGGACACTGTTGTGTGATCGTTGATGGAGAAAATGGGAAAACTATGGAAAGTGAAATTGGGAGAAATTTGGTTTGCGAGCTCACTTCATTAAGTGGGACGTATTATGGAAAATTGACTTTTCAATTATTTACTCATATAGAAACTAGTTGGGTCTCTGGAAGTTCCGTCCGCCCATCAAGTGTGAAATTAAACATCCAAGTGAACTATTTTTTTTTTTTGGGCTGCTTATCCTAGCAAAATGTCAGATTTTGTCGAGTTATTTTCGACAATCCCGCCCACACGCATTTGACGCTGGCTGTCACTTTCGACCTTCACACTTTCATCCTTTTCTGCGTCATGTGGCAAGAGACAACGAAGCGCTCTAAAACTGCCACGCCAGTGGAAGGGATGATGCATTTTTGCGCTGCAAGTTTAGCTAGCCAAATGCAAATTGCAATTGCGCCGGATAACTGCTGCGGCCACCAAAGATGCTCCAGTGTTTAGAAAGTGAGTGCCTCTCAAGTTTTTTTTTTTCCTAGCAAAATGAAAATCTATTGAGGCAAATCTGTTAATTGAAAGGCTCTGAGGGTATTTGTTGCTCACTGATCCTTACCGCCCTCAATCTCATCACAGCAGTTGTAATCATCTCTTGAGCATGCACGCTGTTTGTTCAAACCCTCATTACAACTTCGAGCATGCCACACAGCCATTCTCAGGATTATCTCACTACCCTGTTTGGCCCTTACACACTCGATGTGGCAGATTAAGATGGATTAATGTCTTTAGAAGTACTGTCATTACAGTATTTGTTGATTTAAAAAAAATAAATAAACAAGGCTGAAGCATTTGTGGATTTTTACTCTGCATGCATATTACACAACAGCGTCTGTGAGAAAATGATGATAAATATCTCTCCAGTACAGCTGGAGGCTAAAATGTACCGCGTGTTAGGAATAATGAACTGAACGAATTGAGGAATGAGCTTTCATATGACAGTTTTGACATCATGCTGAAAGGGAATTCTGAGGTGCGTTATCTAACAAATTACGCAAGACTTTTTTTGAAAGAAATATTGATGTGGTGGTATTGACTGAATAGTCATGAGTCAAATTGCTTGATATTCATCACTGTTACAAAAGCAGACAGTTGAGGCGAGAAGAATTAATTTTGTCATCGATCGCTGCTTGATGGCTTCTCAGCGGATTTCAGGCGAAAGTTTTGGGGCCGCATATAACACGTCATTACAGAGAAAAAGCTGTTTGTGAATGGTGATTTTGCGGAGGGGTTAATATACAGGTACTTGTTAAGGTCAAGAAAATATGCTAAGTGTATTTATATGCCCACAGGAACACATTATGACAAATGTGCATAAACATATATGACCCCCTATTAGCCGAGCGGTTAGCAGAAGCTGAGACAGGAAGTGAACTGCGGGGTTTGTGAGGCCTCCTGGCTGACACAAAGATGAATGTTATTTTGATTGTGTGTATTTTTCTATCAGCCCAATACCAGGACTTGGAAGCAAAACAAGTAGATGGCATATGCTTTCAGTATATGTCTTTTAAATGCCCGTTAAGATTTAAATGAAGTAAACAAAATGAACATAGCATTTCTTGTGATCATTCATTTGTTTGTGTTTTATGGTTCTTGTGACTGCCTGAGATCTAAACAAAGCAGCTGCTCCCAACTATAATGTGGAGCTCATAGTTCATGGGAAGGATAACAGTGGTGATGACACACATTTTTCTTTGCTTTAGTTCTCATGGTCAAACGGAGCCTTCGGGGTCACAACGCACTTCCTCTTCATGGTCTGGTAGTGTAAACATTTTGGGACTAATTAAAGGAGAGATGACCAAACTTGCAGTACATGTAAAGTTCTACCTTTGTGAAGTTGATGCTCAGGTTTAATGAAAGAAGACACGTTCATGACTGTGGCTGTGGTTTAGAAGTTGCCGTTCTTTGGTACTTTGTTTCATAACAAATCTTGTTGAGGCTCGTTCTTCTATTTTATGTGTGGTAAAAAAATAAACCCATGCCAAGCTAGTTGATGCACTCTGAAGTGAGTTCTCGTGAGCCGCATGTGAGACATGCAGTAAATGTGATGGATGGTATAAATTTGGCCTGCACTATAGCTATGGATTCTATTGACCGGTCACGCTAACACGTTATGTCATCATACCTGCCTTGGCGTGAAACTCGTTTCAAGCAGACTGAATCACAGAGCTGGAGGAGCTGTACCATAAGTGTGCCTCTGTCAAACAGTCACCCAGCCTTTCTGCTTTCCCAGTTCCTCAGTAATTGGTAGGCGCTAAGCTAACTTGCTCCACACCAGCTTCCCGTAGAGGCTGGCTAGCTATCACGGCTAAACATTTTCCTTCCACGGTGTAGAGTTGCTACTTTGAAGTTTATACCCTTGTCCCTATGACAGTGAAGATACACTTCTGCCAAGTATCACTGAAGGAAGGCGAGGACTAACTAATCATTTGACGAACGGAGCAAGAAGCGGGAGGAGGGAGAAGACGGAGAACCCATGCTAACCGTTAAGCTAGAGTCATTGCTAAAGTGGTATAAATCTAGCTGGAAATACATTCCAGTGGAGAGTTACCAACTATGAACCACAAATTGTCAGATAAAATAATACATATCTCGAAAAAAAAAAGTAATGCAACAGCTTAACAGCAAAAAGCAGGACTAAAACACTCAGTATATGAGCAATACCCCAACATAAAAAAAAATGTAGGTGTTGGCAGTGAAATCCACTTAACTCAGGTCACAACAAGCAGCAGCTTCACGTTCTGGAATTAAAACAACCACAAAATGTTGCCTTTTTTTTTGGTTGCTTAATGTAATCGATAAGCTAACAAATAGCATTATGTCGCTGTGATACATACATAGGCATATATTCTTTATTTTCCATCACAATGTAGCTCCCCATACACTTCTATTTTGTCTTTTAAGTCAGTTTTGTCATACGTATATCAGTTGCAGATCTTGAAACGTTTGAAAACATCCATCTGCAGAATGTGGTTCTAATATTTGTCATGTGTTGATTCTGAGAGCTGCACAATGCACCCACGTAGAGGTCACTTTGTGTCTCGGGCCTGTGCACAAACTAATCCGTGACATGCCTCCGCCTCTATGTTGGCTAACAGCGAAGAAAAAAAATGAAGAGGATGGAAAAACAAAACAATTGTCCTCGGGCTATTTTCCCCCCAGTTTCATGAATGAACTTTTCCACAAAACTGCAAATTTCCTTTTGCTGTCTCAAAATAAGATGTTGCGTCTCTGCAGGTATTGTATTCAAGGCTTGTGCTTTATCATTACAAGGCTCCAGCTAAAATAAGAAAAGGCAACGCAGAATGTGGTGATGTTTACAATAAACGCCACGAGGAGAAGTTTCCAAACAACGCAGGGCGCCTAAGCCACATGTGGATACAAAAAAGCATTCCTTCATGCCTCTGTTGGCGGAGGATGCGAGCGTTTAGCGGCCATTCACCGCCACACAGGCCAGAGTGTGTGTTAACAGTCTCACACACAGCCCAGCTAAGTCAAACACACACTCTCTTTAGCAAGCGCAAATATTCACTACCTCATGCACATAAACATTGTCACCTAGTTTACATTGACTCAAATAGACACAAGCGGTCACCATCCACAAAGCGGCAACTTTCTCCCAAGTGTACTCATAAAAAGTTCTCCATTCCGTCCCATCACTCACATTGCTGACCCTCACTGCACCTCCAAGCTATGTAAACTTTTTCCTGCATGTGCAAATACTACACTCACAGGATGCATCACACTCCAGGAGTGTGGGAGCGGGAGCTCGCCTGGTTCGTGCACCAGAAATAAACCAGAGACCTCCAGCAAGGCCAAACAAGTATAGCAGATAGCAGTAGAGTTTCCCCGGTGGGCTACTGTAATAGGAAATATCGGTGAGGCAGATATTGTTCTTTTCTTCATTAAAAAAAAAGACAAGAAATAAACAAAAAAACACAAAACATGCCAAGGTGTAATGTTAAACAGTTGAAAATTATAGTTGACGTTCCACTCCAGCCCTATAGGTGGCAGTAATGTGCCAGCTGTGCCTCATTCCGAAAGAGAGACATGGTGTCGCCATTTTTTTTCTGTGGTTACATTTGATGGTAGATGATTTCAAAGGTTGATCCACTTTGAAATCAAATGTAGCCAGTTTGTTCTGTTTTTCTCAATGGGTCAATTGGCTCCTCAGCTG